AAAATCTTTTTCCTCTCCCCCATAATTCTGTCTTAAAACGCTCCCCCTGACAGCTCGATAAGTCACTCCCGCCTTAATGCACGTCTGGCTCACCGTCTGCGGCCTCCCTGCCAATCACCTCCCAGGTAAATACTGCATTATGCATGGTGTGGAGCCGGGTCACCCCAGGGTGGGCGCCCAGCGCGTCCTCCTGGCCCGGGCTGCCTCAGCCCTCTCCCCGGCCCCAGAGCCCACGGCTCCCAGGATAGTGGTACAACCTGGGCGAGAGGGGAGGGGACCAGGCAGAAGCCCCTCCCCTCAGGGCAGGGAGCCAACCTTGAGTGACACCTGTCAGGCCTCTTGTCTCGCCTCCCGCCCAAGGGGCTGCCCCCTGCCCGCCACCCCGGCCTAGCCAGGGGCTGCTCACTCCGGCCAGGCCTGCCCAGCCCCTAGCCCTCAGCAGCGCCGGGCCTGCCCTGGCCTGGCACAGCTGCCTCCTCACCGTCCAGCTCTGCCTCCTCCTCTACTCTTTCCAGACCTGTCTTCTGTCCCCAGGTTGTCCCCCTCCCCTCCAGCCCCAGGGCTTCAGGTGACCCCAGCCTGCTCCCCTCCCAGCCACGGAGGCACCCAGAAGTCCCGGCTGACCCCTCGGCCCATGCCAGTCCTCGGACGGCAGGGTCCAGTGGGCCTACTCCCTCCCGACCGCCTTCTTCCAGGACCAGCCAGGCGGTGGAGGTGGTGAGGGGGAGCCGTGGGGATGGGGTGACAGAGAGGAGAGGGGGAGGGGGCAGAGGGGAGGGTCTGGGACAGGGGAGGAGGAGAGGGAGCCACTGGTAGAGGGAGCAGTGTAGGGGCAGCGGGGGAGGGCCAGAGGGGTGGACAGCCTCCCCTCTCCTCAGACCTGCTGGAGGCGCCTGCCAGGGCACGGAGTGGCCCCAGAGAACTTTCCCCACCCCAGACCGAGCCCTGTGTGGGCCGGCCAGGGTCCTCCCCTCTCCAAGCTGGGCTGGGGACCCTTCCCGAGCCAGCCAGCCAGCCCCCCCCCCCGGCAGTCCCCCCAGGCCTGCTGCTCCCACCTCCCCGCAACCCCTCCGCGGGGTGGGCCCAGCATGGGCGCCACCCGCTCAAGGAGCCCAGCGCCCAGCGTCCACCCCCCTTGCCCAAGCCCAATCAGAGCTCCGGGAGCCCCTCACACCTCCCCTCTCAGCCCCTCATCCTGTCCCTCCCCGCAACACCCAGGTCCCCCACTTAACCCAGCAGCTCCCCAATAGCGGGCCCCGCCCCAGGCCCCCCACCAGGACAGATGGAGAAGCTGACATGCCCTCTCCTCTCCCCTTCTTCCCATGACCTCCCACCCCACGAGGGAGACCTGTCCCTCCACCCCTCACCCCATCCCTTGCCCCTGCCTGTCCCTCCTCAGTGGGAGCTCATTCCTGAGTGTCTCTGGGCGCCAGGGCCCTCAGGTAGACCCCAAGCCCCCACCCCTCCCCGCCCCTGCTTCCCGCTCCCTCTCCCCACATTAATCTCTGCACCGCTTGCTGCTGACCCAAGCAAAACGGAGTTTTGCCTTTTCCCCTCTCGGCAGTTTTCTGTTGGCAAAGCAGAAAGCATCTCAGCAACGCACCTCGGCGCACTGCCCGGCGCTCGCTCGGAAAACAGGAAAACAAAGTGCTGCGTGGCTCACACCTGAGAGGTGAGCCGGGCTCCCCGCCCCGCCCCGCCCCACTGGCCCCCCGAGAGGTGAGCCGGGCTCCCCACCTGCCCCGCCTGCCCCGCCCTCCCCGCCCCGCTGCCCTGCTGCCCTCCCTCCCGCCCCGCACTGCCCTCCCGCCGGCCAGTCAGCCGGTCTTCCTGCCTCAACTCCGCATGTGTGCACACACACAGCCTGCGTCCTCCACAGCAGGCATTTGTGAACGCGTGTCCCAGGCCCCCAGGCCCTGTGAGAGCCACAGCCACCCAGCTGGCCAGAACGTGAGGGTAGAGCCGGGTTAGGGGCATGAAGCAGCAAGGCCTGCCTGGCCCACTCCGGAAGATCTAGACGATGCCAGCAGGATGACCAGGAATGGGGGTGCATTCAGGTGGAGGGGACAGAGCCAGAGGGGCGCAGCCCTGCTCACGCGGGATGCTGAGCTGGCCACAGTGGATCCCGGAAGCTGCTGCCCACCTGGCACGGCCCTCCCAGGCACGCTCTCCCGGCAGCTGGGCCCCCTGCCCTGTGCAGGGGGAGGCTCTGGGGCAGGGAGGGTAGGCAGGTTCACGGAGGGCCTCGAGCACCCCCGAGGCTGCAGATTGCCAGGTGGGGCCCGCCTGACCAGACCTGAGGCCTCGGGGGCCGGATCTGCCGGGCTCCGGCCCTGGTCCTCTCAGTCATCAGGAGGTGCTGGGCACCGGGCAGGGGCCCCTTCTCTGCCCCAGGTGCAGCAAGGAGGTCAGTGCTCCCCCCTCCGGGGCCTCTACAACCCCCCCTCCCCCGGCACAGACCCAGGCGGGCCCCACATGCCACCCAGCCCTGTGGATGGGACCCACCCAGGGCCCCCACCCCAGCACCCAGGGGCCGCGGGGCCCAGCCGGTCCACGCACTGCGTGCAACCTGCCCACCCCACTGGGGGCGCCACAGAGCCCCGGGAACAGGGAAGGCGCCCCTGTGGGCAGGTGGCAGCTTCTGCCGGTCCCTCGGTGGGGGAGGGGCTGCCGTCTTCCCGACAGGAGCCCCCACCCTGTCGCCCCTAATTACCATGTAATGGCCTCTCTGATGCACAGTTTTATTAATCAAATTAACCAGCGCGTGTGGAGGAGATCTTTGCAACCTTGGGACATTCTGCTGAGTCGGGGATTCTCCCTGGGGGGCAGTGGGGATGGGGCGGGCCCGGATGCCCCTCCCCCCCTTCCACACCGCTGTGCCTGGGTCTTCCTGACGCACATGCCCGCCCTGCCCCGCACACCCCACCCAGAGACACGCAGGGGACCCGACTCCAGTGCTGACATGAGCACAGGGTGGGCGTGAGCCTTGGACCATCAAAGAAAGCTGGGGTACAGGGAGGACAGGCCCCCAGGGCACCCTCAGAAGGACTGAACGCAGGGCAAGGGTCTCCAACCACAAGGGGTCCGTCCTCTTCCCGGCCCCGGCTTCTGCAGCCTGAGGGCCGGTGGGTGGGCAGCAGCTGCCCTCTGGTGGCCACAGGAACCAAGCCAGCCTCTCGTTTTCTTTCCCTTTGTAATGGGGAGGATTGAACCCAGGACCAGACAAGTACTCTACGTTGGGCTACATTCCAGCTCTTTATTGCCATAGGGAGCAGCCTGTCTCCTTGGGCGGCCAGGCCCGGCGCCGGGGGCCCAGGCAGCAATCCTGCCTCCAGGAGCGGTCCGTGCTCTCGGCAGGGCTGCAGCCCCTGGCGGGGAGGGCAGGGGGGCTGCGGGCAGCCGGCAGCCTCTGGGGTGGACTGCAGGGTGTTGAGAGCCGGGATCAAGGAGCAGGGGAGAGGCTGGGCCTGGGGGGTGGGGGACACCCAGCAGAACTGCACCGGGCAAAACCTGGCCCATACAGCTGAGAGCTGAGAGCCACTGCCTAGAGGGGCTGGACCTCTAGGCCACAGCCAAGATGGCAGCAGGGTGGGGGACCCAGGGAGGTGGGCCTGGGGTCAGCAGGGTCTGCCACAGGGGCAGCATCAGCCTACGTGGAACAGTGTCAAGAGAGCCAGGGAGCCTGGGGTCACTGCCGCCCTCCTCGGGGCATGGTGAGCTCCGGTGAGCTCCGGTGTGCTCCCATGAGCTCCCGTGCACTCGGAAAGCTCCGGTGAGCCCAGAGCTCCTCCTCGGAGCGTCTTTAGCAGGCGGGGCGGACACTACCTGACCTTCCCAGCACGAGGACAGACAGAAGAAGGGATCAGGGGGTCGCTGCGGCCGGCCTGGACCGGTGTGCCAGGGCCCAGCTCAGGGGCAGGTGCGGTGGTCCTCGCGGGGGCGGGCCGGGCCGAGGCTGCCCGTCTTGCCCAGCTTGGCCTTGCGGCTCCAGCCGAGGAGAGGCCGGGAACCGGCGCCGGTGTGTGCAGCCACTGAGGTCTCGGGGCCACCCTCTCTCTGGGTTCTCAGAAGAGCTGGCCAGCGCTCCCCCTGCAGGCAGGCCACAGAGTTGCAGCCAGGTACCACTTCCTGGCCCACACGTGGCCATCTGGGAGGAGGTGGAAGAGCTGGCGGCAGAGGGGGCTGTTGGCGGCCATGCTGCTCACCCCCCCCCCCATGAGGGGGCCTCTGGGGTGAGCCTGACCTGGAAGCTGCCAATGCAGGGACACAGAGTCCCGATGACTTCCTGAGAGCCGGTGGTGGCCACTGTCTGGAAGGCCAACTCCCTGAGGATCCCCTGCGCCCCCCCCCTTCCGCTTCCCAAGGCCTTGGGCACCCAGGGGAGCTCAGGGCCAGGACCGGAGGACAAGGCTGGGGGGTTACCTCCCCGGGCCCCAAGACTCACCCCACTGCGTGATTCAGGGCTGGGCAGCAGTGACACCACCTGCAGGCTCGCCCCTGCCTCGCCCCCGCCCTGCAGCTGTGCCACCACCTCCGAGTGTTTCCACCACTTGCACGGCTGTCCGTTCACAGACACGATGTAGTCCCCCTGCTTCAGGCCGGCCGCCTGCGGGGACGCGGACGGTGAGGTGGAACAGCCCGCGGCCGGGTGCGGAGGTTCCCCTCAGGGGCCAGGGCGGCCTTACCGCAGCCTGGCCGCCAGGAGTGACGGCGGCGATGAGCACGGGCGAGTCTCCCCGGAGTGTGAAGCCGAAACCGCGCTCCCCACGGGCCAGGTGGACAGGCCCCGCCAGCCGCCACCGGTTCCTGACTGAGAACACCGACAAGGGCCCCTGGGAAAGGCAAGGGTTTGAGGCTGGGCCCGGGGGCTTCAGTCCCTGGCCACTGGCCCCGTCTCAGTCTTGCATCCCTCAGGAGAAGGAGGGCAAACCCCGGTCCCCCCCCCCACTGGGCCTGGTTCCCATCAGAGGCAGGGCGGGCGGAGGCGCGCTCACCACACGGTGGAAGATGTCTGCTACCTTCCTCTGGGGCAGACTGGGCATCCTCACCTCAGGCTTCTGGTGGGTCTTAGCTAGCCGGACAGGAGGAAAAGGAGGAATCGCTCAAGCTGCAGTTCAAGAGATCCCCACAGGAGTGGGACCCTGCCCGCAGGTGCGTGCTGGCCCTTGCAGGAGACGCCCAGCCCAGGACCCAGGCTGGAGAGGCACAGCCGCCCTGGGTGCCTCCGCATGGGCCTCCGTCGCCCCAGGAGCTCCCAAGGTCCTCCCAGAAGTCCCCAGCCCCCCGCTACGGGTGTCCCCAGGACAGGACTCAGTGAAGGAGGCGGGGCAGTGAGTGGCCAGGCTCTGCTTTGGGCTCAGCCGTAGCTCTGCCTCTTCCAGACTGCTGCCGTCCGCAGGACGGGCCTTGGCGACAGCCTCTCTACCACAGCCGCGGCTCGGGTCTGTCACCCTGCCGCCACCCCATCCCATCCCCCCCCCCCCCCCCCCCCCCCCCCGCTCGGCTGCTTACGCTGGATTTCAGGGGCCTCGGCGGCCTCGAAGAAGTCGTCCTCACGCTCCAGCTCCGAGTACCTGGCCAGCGAGCGCCGCAGGGCCCGGGCCACGGCGGCCTGGAGCAGGTCCACCTTGCGAGGGACGGGACACAGCGCGTGCAGCCGCAGGGCCTCCTCCTGGCCCAGGATGGCACGCTTCAGGTGGGCCTTGGCTGCACAGGCACGGGGCGGTCACCTGTGGCACCTGGCCTAGCCAGCCCTGCCGGACTGGGCCAGGGTGCAGCAGGAGTGGGGAATGGCCGCGGGGAAGGATGGGGGTCGCCTGGGCCAGGGGGGCTCTTCCAGGAACAGACACAGGGGCCAGGGAAGAGCTGCCCCCCAGCCCCCCGCCTGCTCCCAGTGTACCCCAGCTGCTCCCAGCTTCCCACCTGTCCCAGCTGCCCACTTGTCCCAGCGCCCCCCGCCCCTACCTGCCCCCAGCGTCCCCGCCTGCCCCCAGCGTCCCCCTGCCCCCACCTGCCCCCCTGCCCCCGCCTGCCCCCAGCGCCCCCCCTCCCCCCGCTCCAGCGCCCCCGCCTGCCCGGCACTCCCAGGCTCCTGCTCAGGTAGAATCCCCCACGCGGGAACGCCCGGTGCCCAGGGGCAGGCGCCGGCCCTGGCTGGCCCAGCCCAGCACGCCTCACCCAGCTTCCTGCGCTCCTCCGGATGCTGGGGCAGCATGGGGTCTCGAGACTCACAGGGGGCTGGGGCCTGGAAGACCTGCTCATACTCAGGGAGCTCCCCTGCGGCTGCTGGGGATCAAAGGCCATGAGCCTGGAGCACAGGCCTCCCCAGCCACACAGGCAGATGGGAGGGGACTCACGGGAGCTGCCGCCGAGGGCCGCGGCCGCATGGTAGTGGGCCAGGGCTTGGAAGTGCTCAGCCTTGACGTACACCAGGGTGGTCCAGGAGGCAGGCACGTAGTCTCGGACGGGCGGCTGCGCCATGGCCCCGTACACCAGCCTGTACTCCGCAGCCACCTGCCGGGGCATTGGGTACACTGGGACCGGGCTCTGCCCTGGGGCACAGGACGAAGAGCCTGGCCCCAGGCACACAGCTGCGGCTCCTGCAGCTTTAGGCAGAGCCTACTGCCACAGACCTGACTAGCTGCTCTGGGCATCAGGACCCAGCTCCAGCTGACCCTACCCTTGGTCCACACCCAGGGTCTTGTGAACAGGAAGAGCTGGGGGTGGACACAGCACAGAGGGCGGGCCCAGCTCCTCTGCCTCCCTGGCTCCCCCGACTCCTAGGAGCTCTGTCCCCTTGCGGCCTGGTCCCCACTCGCGGTCCTGAGCAGGGCTCCTGGCCCTTACCTGGGCAGCCTCCTGAGCCAGGCGCAGCTGGGCCCGGCCGCCCCGTGGAGCCGTGGGGCCTGGCAAAGAGAGGCCCTGGAAGACGCACTCCTGGGCCTGGGCAGCCATCAGCTGCTCCAGCGTGGAGAGGGAGGGGGCGCTCATGTCTGGGCTGGGCGCATGGGAGAAGTTCTCCCTCAGGAGTCGGAAGGCCCCTGGGAATGGGTGGGTGCTGTCACCAGCAGAGCCTCTCGGCGGGCCAGGGCTGCCCTCTGATCCCCACCCGCCCCGGCTCTGCCCTCACCAGCAGCCTTCTGGAAGGCCTCCATGGCAGATTTGGCGCCCTCTGCGCAGGAGCGGTCCTGGCGCGCCCCGATCTGCGTGTGGAGGGCACCGATGTTGAACAGCACGCTGCCTTTCTCAAAGGCCAGGGCCCGCTGCTGGGCCGGAACCCCCGTGAGGGAATCATACCTGTGGGGCGGGTCAGGCTGGCACAGCTCTGTGGACAGGGCCTCCCCTCCCGGGCAGCCAGGCCACCAGCCCTACCAGTGGAAGAGCAGCCCCAGGCCCCTCGTGGGGCTGAAGAAGCGCGCGTCTAGGAAGCAGAGCTGGTTGTAGTAGGCAGCCAGCAGCTCCAGGCCTGCCTCGTCCGGGCGGGGGCTCCGTATGGCCTGCACAGAGCGCCTGTGAGCCCGGCCCTCCCTGCACACGCGCAGGTGGGTGGGGGGTGGGGGGTGGAGGGGAGGGTGGAGGGTGGGGAGGGTGGAGGGTGGGGAGGGTAGAGGGGGAGGGGACAGTGGGGGGGTGGAGGGGGGGTGGAGGGTGGGGGGGGAGGGGCAGGGGAGGGTGGAGGGGAGGGGAGGGTGGAGGGGAGGGGGAGGGGAGGGTGGCCAGCAGGCGGGCTGGTGGGTAGGCCCGCCTCCCAGATGCCTCCTAGGATTCCCCCTTTGTCTGGGGTCAGGGGAGGGAGAGGCCCACTCACCTGCCGCAGGTCCTCCAGCTCCCTGATCTCGGCCTCATAGGAGGAGCCATCCTCTCCAAAGTGCTGGGAAATCAGCTCCTGATAGAAGGACAGGCGCTGGCAGTCCGCCCTGGGGGGGAAGGCCCAGGCCCTCACCGGCCAGCTGCTCATGAGGGACCAAGGACCTGGGGCCCCTGAGTGTAAGCTCTGGAAAAGGGCTTTGGGCCTGGCGTATGGAGGACCCTGGGGGCAGCTGCCCAGACAGGACACGGAGTCCCTGGTCAGCGGCTCCAGCCCTGGGCAATCCTGGGGCATTCTGGCCCCCACCTAGCAGGGCCGGGCAGCCCCCAGGATCCCCTGGGCCCGGAGCAGGCCAAGTCCCTCGGGGGCTCACAGGCCAGCACTCACCTTCAAGGGTGTGGCCCAGTCCAGTTCCTTGGTCTCCTTCAGGCCCAGGGGGATCATGGGCACGGTGACCCCTTCACTAGAAGCACAAGTGTCGGCTTCAGACCTGCTGCTTCTGGGGCCTGGGCCCACCCCCCTGCGCCCAGCTGTACTTCCCCATGGGAGCCCGCGTGCAGACCACCAGGGACCGCGTACCCCCCGGGCTGGTCCACATCAGTGCTGCTGCCCAGCCCCGCCAGCTCCTCCTTCAGCAGCTGCAGGTTGGAGTTGACGTAGCTCAGCTCCAGGGCCACCGTCTCTCTGACCTGATTGTTGCTGGTGGCTCTAGGGAGGCCAGGGAAGGTCAGCATCCCTGGCTTCCGGGAAAGCGCAGGATCCCAGGCCTGCAGCTGCCTCCTGTCCACCCAGAAGGGCCCACCACGCCGGGGTTCCTCTCCCTCTCCAACCCCTCCTCCGCCGTGCCCCTTGGGTGTTACACACGTGGGGAGCCCCCCCCCGGTGCCCCCAGGCAGCTCCCGGACCATGGGGGAGCCAGCCCCACTCTGCACCTGCACTGGGGGTCTGAGGAGGCCAGGCTGGGAGTGTGGGGCCCGCGGCCCGCCCCTGGCAGGGGCTACATGGCTGCAGGAGGGCTGGAGCCCATGACATGTGGCTGTGGATCAGCTGAGGTCCCCAGCCCGGGGCTGCCTGTTCACTTGCCTATGTGGCCGCTTCTGAGCCAGCGTGGGGCCGGCAGGGCCCCAGACTGGGAGAGGGTGTGACTGGCTGACAGGCCTGGGTGGGAACTTATGTCATGGCCACCTGCTGACAGGTCCCTCGTCCCGCCCCGCCCCCACCCCCGTGGGCCGCCAGCCTCTGCCAGGCCCGGCCCTCACCTGTAGAGGTTCTCTGCGCCAGCTCGCATGCGCAGCTCCTTGCTGATCTGCTGGTGGAGCCGGGCCCGGTGGCTCTGCTCTGGGGCGTCACAGCCCTGTGGGACAGCGGGCGGTCACCACCCCTCCCGGGGCTCTGCTGGAGGACCCTGCTCACCCTTGGGGAGTGAGATTTCACGGTGGGCTCCAGCCTGCGCTGGCTGGCTGGGGACACAGGGGACAGCTCCATGTGCCCCTCCCAGCTTCCCGGGGGCTGCAGACCCAGCCCTGTCCTGCCAGCCGACCGGCTGCATGCCAGAGGCCCGCTTTAGTCTGGACAGGGGCCTGACCATCTCCCAAGGAGGGGCAGCAGCCGGAGACTGCCCACAGGAGGGTACCTGGGCTGGAGTCCAAAAGTAGGAGGCTACCATGTGGTCCGTGGGTGACAGGGAGAGTGATCCGCCACCCACAGATGGGCTGGGGTAGGTGGGGAGAACGTGGCGGGCCTGCCCCACAACACCTGGCGCTGCTTTCCATGCCTGAGCCTGGGCCGCTGCCCCCAGGCCCGCCCGTGTAGGGGTGGAAGCTGAGGCCCAGGGTCTTCCTTCCAGGGCTGAGGCTAGGCCGCCAGAGTTCCCACCGACAGGCGGCAGCAGGTTCTGAGGCTCGGGTGAGTGCCAGTCCATGGCCTTGGCTCAGGCAGATGGCTCTCATCAGCTCCACACTCTGCTCCTGCAGGCCCCAGCCCCAGCCCCATGGCCTCCCTACCCATGGGGGCTGGCTTAGCCTCCTGACCCAGCCCAGCTGGCCCTATGGGACCGGGTGGACTCTGGAAGCCAGAGACTCATGCCCAGTTTTCCACACCGGATGGAGGACGTGCCCAGTAGAGAGGGCACAGATGTCGGATGACCGGTTCCCTCCTGATGCCATTCCCCAACTCTGGAAACAAAAGCCACCCAGCCCCTCCCTTGTGCCATGACCCCACTGGGAGGCCTCAGGCTCCCCCTGCGAGAGCCTGGAGGTCTACAAGGACCCCAGGCAGAGCCTGGCCTTGGCCCCTTGGAAGGGGTGGGGAGCAGAGAGGCAAACCCCTCCCCAGTGCAGAGACCCTGGTGCAGGCCCTGCCAGTGGGCTGTGCCCAGGACTAGCAAGAAGAGGTGATGGCTACCCCTGCGCAGGCCTGGCCATCTGAAGACAAGTAGCCCTGCACTCTCCTTCAGTCCCCCAGCCAGACTAGCCCTCCATGCTGAGAGGCAGCCGCTTCCCAGCACTACGCCCTGGGCACTCCCTGCCAGGGTCTACCCATCGGATGGAGCCGTGCTTTGCTCTCCTGAGCATGGAGGAGAGAGGCTGACTCAGCTCTGCCCTCCAGTGTGTGGGAACAGGGCCCATGGGCAGCCCACGCGAAGGGTCTCTTGGGACCTGGCATCTGTAGAACACACGTGCACGCGCATGTGCCTTGCGCACACACACAGCGTGGACCAGCATGGCGTGTCCACCCTCACGGGCAGGGCAGGCATGCTCACCACCTACCTCCTCTTTGATGTCTACTTGGACACCTGGTCGCTGGCCCTGTCCCACCACACCCTAACCCTAACCTAATGGCGGGCACGCCTGGGAATCTGAGTTCACAACAAGTACCCACAGAGTGCTGGCTGGGACCCACCCAGCAGGGGCACCTCCAGCTGCCCTCTGCATGCTGAGACCAGGGGAGGGCACAGCCTCTCCCTGACCCCACTCCCGCGCCTGTCCCGGCCCCTCCCGCTGGCCACGGGCTTAGGGTCCGCTCTGGGAGGGTGGGGACACAAGGTTGTTCTGGGCAGATACCGCAGCTCCCCCAGTGCCGGGTTATCCAAGGATGGGGTGTGCACACGGCGTAAGTCCAGAGAAGCCACTGAACCCCCTTTCCTATTTTGGGGTAGCAGCCAGAAGAGGGCTGAGACAGCGCCGGGCGCAGGCCAGAGCCTCCCGCACATCTTGTCTGCCCAACCTCCCAAACGTTCCTTCTACCCACGGCCACCCGCGCGGCCTGCGGCGTGCCCACCCTGAGTGGGTTCAGGGAGGGCGAACGCCACAGCACCTGTCCCCGGGCGGGCGGGGAGGGCGCCCGGGGCCGCGGACCGGCTGGGTAGAATCAGCGGGCCGTGTGTGGCCTGACGCCGCGGGCAGCGCCGCGCTGGGCCCCCGCCCCGAGGCCCGTGCGGTGCGCAGGCGCCCGGCCGGCCAGCGCGGGTCCGCCGAGCGCCCCACCGGACCCCTCTCCCGGGCCCGGCCCCGGGCCCCCGCGGGGCACCACCCGGCCTCGGGGAGGGAGGCGCCGGCCCAGACCTCGGCGGGCCCCGGGCCCCCGGCGGAGGGTCCGCCGAGGAGCGGCGCGGCCCGGCCCGCTGGCCGGAGCCCCACCTTGCGGACGCTGTCGTCGCCGGCGCCCTGGCCGTCCGGCCGCTCCTCGAGGATCATCGCGTCCTCCCGGAGGCCGCCCCCGCGGGGCCGCGAACGCAGGGCCCTCGGACGCCGGGAGCGCCCCCGCCGCGCGGCCCGCGCTCCGCCGCGCCAGGTCCGGTCCAGGCGGGCTCCGCAGGCCGGCGCGGCGGCGAGGGACGCTGGCCCCGCCTGCAAAACTTGCTCTGCCCAATCAGCAGCGGGCTCCGCCTCGACAGACAGCAGCAGCCACCAACCAGAGCGCGAGGCAGGGGGGCTCCGGAGGCGGCCCCGCCCCGTCCCGCCGGGCTCGAGGAGCTTGGAATCCGGTAACCCCTGGCAACCGCAGGCCGCTCGCCGGGCGCAGGGCGCATGCGCCGCCGGGCACGTCGGGCGGAGAGCCGCGGAGGGCTGCGGGCGGCGACCCGGCTCCGCCGCCGCTCGAGCGCGCGCCCCTGGCGTCCGTGCCGAGCTCGGCCCGCACCTGCCCTCGCCCCCCTCCCCGCCGGGGTGCGTCCCCGAACCGCGCGCCCGGCCGGGCCTGGCGCCTCCTCCCGGCGTCCCGGGCGGGCCGCGCGCAGGCCCTCGCGGGGGGGGGGGGGGTGCACGTGACCTCCCGCCCCCCCCCCCCCCCCCCGCTCGCAGGGCGACTCAGCAGGTGCCGTTGCGCGTCCCTCATCCACGCCAACGCGCCGCCTCCCCACCTCCACCCGACTCGCCCCTCCCGCACCCGCAGGGCCCGGTCTGAACCGGGAGGAGGCCCCCAGCCCGGCCCGCACGCCTGCCCGCCTGCGCCGCACCTCCGGGACAGCCCGAGCAGAGCGTTCTAGAAAGTCGCTGCCTGACCGCGTCTGGTGACTGTCCCTTCCCCGGTGGTGCTGAAGAATGTGTATGAGTGTGCGCGCAAAGCATGATGTGTGCGGGTGAAGTGTACACGTGCGTGTTTGACGTGCGTATATGCGTGTGTAAAAGCATGTATTTACGTGTGTGCATAGGAAGTGTACATATATGCGCGCACACACAAAGCATTCCCTTGCCCCGGTGTAAAGCCAGCCTGTGTGCACTGGGAGGTGTAGGGCCTTTAGCAGGGGGCCCGGGGAGGGCGTGAGTGCTTGGGGTGTAGGTCTCTGGCCCTGGAGACCCAGGTCCCTTCTTACCCTTCTTTTTGCTTCCCGAATTGCTGTGAGGTGAGTAGGTTCCTCTCCTGCCATGATGATCCGCCTCAGGGCAGACGCCGGGGCCTTGGGGCCGACTGACCAGGGACCAGCTAGCCTGGTGCTGTGTCTCGGTGTGGGGACACCAGATGACTGGATGTGGCCCAGGCTCCGCTCGGGGTGACGCTCTTCCCAGCCCCTCGAGACCACGTGCCACTGTGCCACTGTTTATTTACTTCTGCATTTTTCCAGGGCGAGGGACAGAGGAGGCTGGCTTTGGAGGCACAGGATTGGCTAAAGCCAAAAAACTTAATTAGTCTTTTATTAGTCCACTGCTGTGGATAGGGGGATGTTGGAGTTTTGGAATGTGACTATATTCAGAAGCAAAATACAATGAAGCCAAGTACTGGCTGGTGGGGCCCAGAGAGGGTGTGCTACTGCCCCTGGGCTGCGCTGCCTGGCCGGGAGGGGTGGACAGCTGCTTCTGCCCGCCACAGGGAAGCCTTAATCAATGGCTGTAATTGGCACCCAGGCCTCATGCGTGGAGCGGAGAGCCCAGGGAGGCAGGGGCGGGAGCAACGGAATGTGAAAAACGAACTGTTTATAAATACAATCAACAATTTCAGGTTTGGGAGGAACCCATTCATCATTGGAAAGCACCTTTAACAAAAGACATGGGGCTGGGAAGGTGGCTCAGTGGTAGAGTGCTTGCCTTGCATGCATTAGGCCCTGGGTTCGATTCCTCAGCACCACATAAGCAGAAAAAAAAGGCTGGAAGTGCTAGCCTTGAGCTGAAGAGCTGAGGGACAGCGCCCAGGCCCAGAGTTCAAGCCCCATGACTGGACCCCCTCCCTCCAAAAAAAAGACACACCTGGCTTCCCAGGGAGACAGGCCAGCCGTCCCTCTGGCCGCCGGTGCGGGCTGGCAGCAGCCCCAACAGCAGACAGGTGTATGTATTCCTGTTGAAGATCAGTTGATAATCACATGTTTAAATGAGTTTTGCTGAGAGCAGCAGTTTGCTGGGGACTCCCCAGAGGGCTCCTGAGAGCCCTTCCTGGGGCTGGCGGGGGCGGGGGGGGGGGGCAGGGAGAGGCTCTGACCCAGCACCCAGCCTGCCGGCCGTGTGCCCACGGACAGGAGAAGTTCTGCTCTGAGCAAGAACATGGCTGTCCATAGTGTCTGGGCTGGCACTTTTTCTGGGACATAAAGGGAAAAGGAGATGAGAAATGGACCAATGATTGTTCTTGGGAGCTGGTCACAGATGCCTGTCACAGGTACTTTATTATTATTATTATTATTGCAGCAGTGCTTGAGGGGCCTGTGCCTGGCATGTTTGGGCGTAGGGACTGCGGGCAGCAGAGGCATCTGCAGACCGCACGTGCTGACGCCACCCCCAGTCCCGGCCCCAGACAACCCCAGGGCGGAAAGCCGAGGTGTGCTGAGGAGGGGGAGGTGTGAGGGTAAGGCACAGTTTTGGTGGTGTGCCCACCAGAGGGGAGCGTGGGGCAGAGTGTGTGTGCGGGGAGGGGGGGCGGGACAGTACCAGAGAGACCAGAGAGCTCAGGGCAGTGGTCAGAAGCGTAGGGGTGACGTGGAGCGGGAGGAAGAGGTGGCTGGCACTGCAGGCCTTCACTCCAGGCAGAGCCCGGGACTGATGTGCTGCCCCCAGCTGCCAGCACTCCGCGGGACAACCATGGGTGCAGAAGACCCTGGTGGCACCTGCTGGATGTAGTCTGGGGGTGGGAGAACAAGGTTTTGGGCCTGTGCGCGCGTGCACATATGCACTGGATCTGGGGCTTGAACTCAAGGCCTGGCCACTGCCCCTGAGCTTTTTCCACCCAAGGCTGACACTCAACCACTTGAGAAACACCTACACCTCCAACTTTTTTTTTTTTTTTAGGTCCGGTTGTGGGGCCTGAACTCTGGGCCTGGGCACTGTCCCTCAGCTCTTCAGCTCAAGGTTAGTGCTCTACCGCTTGAGCCACAGCGCCACTCCCGGCTTTTTTCTTATGTGGTGCTGAGGAATCAAACCCAGGGCCTCAGGCATGCAAGGCAAGCGCTCTACCACTGAGCCACCTTCCCAGCAACACCTCCAACTTTTTAAACTGGAGGTAATAGTCTCATGGACTTTCATGTCCAGTCTGGCACTGAAATTGTGATCCTCAGATCTCAGCTTCCCAAGTGGCTAGGACTACAGGGAGGCGTGATCCTCAGATCTTGGCCTCCTGAGTGTCTAGGATTACAGGAATGATCCTCAGATCTCCCGAGTAGCTAGGACTTCAGGCATGAGCCCCCGGAACCCGTCAACCAGCCTGTTTTGACTGGGATCAAGTCCGCCTAAGGGGAGGATGTAAACTCTGAGAACTGTCGCAGTTCCTGGTTGCCAGGTCAGGGTGGCTGCAGGTTGGGAGCACTCTCAGCTGCTGTGGGGTTTGACCACAGTGGCAGGAGGCAGGGGAGCAGGCCAGGGCAGGAGGGAGGGGCTGCTGAGGTTGGTCAGGGAGAGTGGGGTGGGGTGGGAGGGGGCTCAGAGGGAGAGGAGCAGGGCCACACTGGGCTGCTCAGAAGGCAGAGGGAGGGCCCAGGCCAGCCACACCACGGCCAGGGTGGGCCAGGCCTCCCTCAGATCCTACAATGTGTAAGAGGGAAAATTCCTGGTGCTGGGAGTGCAGTTCAGAGGGAGAGCACGTGTGTGGCGTGTACAAGGCCAGACTGTCCCCAGAGTCCTAAGTCCAAGTCCTAAGTCTATTCATTCATGACCTAAGCTGAAAGATTTCGCCTGGGTGGAGGTGAGTCTAATGGCTCTCCTGCATACTTTTTCTTTTTTTGGTGCCAGTCTTAGGGCTTGCACTTAGGGCCTGGGTACTGTCCCTGTGCTTGCGGCTGGTGCTCTATCACTTGAGCCACAGCTCACCTTTGAGCTTTTTGGTGGGTAGTTGGGCGGAAGAGTCTCACAGACTTTCTTGCCTGGGCTGGCCTCAAATGGAAATCCTCAGATCTCAGCCTGCTGAGTAGCTGGGGTTAGAGGCGTGAGCCATCAGTGCCTGGCTGTGGATACCTTTTATTAGACATTTTGGATACAATTTATGGCATTCTTTTATAGACATGGAGCAGATTAACCAACTGCCAGCGTTTAGACCACCCAGCCACAGCTGCCCTGGAGATCTGTCATTGGGAAAGACGTGTCATTTATTTACCAAGCAAAAGAGGACATTATTCAGTGGAGCCAAAGCTGCCTTCCCCCTGAAACCCTGCTTCTATTTTCCACGTCTGACTAATTTTTAATCTCAGTGACTGAGTGGCAACGCTGCTTTTAAGGAGTTCTTGATGCACGCTGCCTTCACAAGATCGTGCTGGAGATTGCTCCTGGATGCTGAGAATTAAATGAGCTCAGCCACGGACTGCGTGGCTCCTTCAACTCCAGGCACAGACGCAGACGTGATGCCGTCCTCACGGGCATTTCTGCTGCCGAGGCCGGGTCTGTCATCGCCCTCGCCACACAGAAGCTCGGTTATCCGTTAAGGAGGCTGGACGATGATGCCGTGCTTCCTACCGGCCAGGGCAGGGTCAGGCTGGGGATGTCTGCAGTGACTTCTGCTTCTTGGCAGCTGTGGTTAGGCCGAGCACGGCTGCTCCTCACAGGCCCTGAGTGTCTGTCCACCGAGGCAGCCTGGAACCGGGCGGCCTTCCCCGCCCCACACCCCACCCTTCCCACACGGCTGCTGCCCCCTGCAGGCCCCACCACGCCCCTCCCATGGCCTGCTCTGGGGTGGGGTGGGGGGCCTGGAGTGTCCACAGCCTGGGGGGGGGGCGCCTCGCCTGGCACTGCCCTCACCCCAGTATTCCTCCTTGAGCTGGCTGGGACCACCTCCCAGACAAGAACTGTGTGTGCGGAGGCCCGGCCTCGGGGGGCCACAGCCACACTGCCCG